ATATCATGTTGGGAACTGATTAACAGCAAGAGAAGAAGAGGCTTCTGGTCCATTAAGCTCCACATTAATCTGCAAAAGAGCCCCCGGGGTCTTCTTCATAATTTCATTAGTAAGCAATGCACTAAAAAGACAGAGAGAGCTTGCTTACTGCCTGGGATGTTATCTTTGGACATAGATGCCCCAGATTAAAATTATTGCTCATTCTCATCAAACCACCATCTCACAGCTTAGCCTATGTCACAACAGCTCTTGTGAATGGACTATCCCAAAGGCTCTTGGGATTGGGCAGGAAAGCAATCTGCATAAATAAAAGAAGCAATTACTTGCAGCTCATTACTCAACTGCTGTAGTCAGTTTGCTTGTTTGTTGCTGTAAGTCTTCTAGTGGTTGATCATGTGGAAGAGAGTAAGCCACATCCTTAAAGCCTAGTGATATGACTAGACGTAGAATAATCTTGCCAGGGGTGGGGGGGTGGGGAGCACAGAGAACACTAAAACTGTAATAGTTTGCTTTCCCTTTTTATTTCTAGGGGCATTGGAGGGGAGGTAGGAAGGGCAAATGAAACATCTGTATAAATTATTATTTTTTGTTGCATTTTATCCCAGTCTTCCTCCAGGGCTGGATCTAGATGCGTCAAAGAAGCAATTCAGTTAAACGCGTTGTAAATTCATTCATGGAAATCCAGTAGGGAAATCCGGACCTCCACAGCACCATCTGTGTATACCTGAAGGAGCGTCTCCACCCCCATCGTTCTGCCCGGACGCTGAGGTCCAGCGCCGAGGGCCTTCTGGCGGTTCCCTCATTGCGAGAAGCAAAGCTACAGGGAACCAGGCAGAGGGCCTTCTCGGTAGTGGCGCCCGCCCTGTGGAACGCCCTCCCATCAGATGTCAAAGCGATAAATAACTACCTGACATTTAGAAGACATCTTAAGGCAGCCCTGTTCAGGGAAGCTTTTAATCTGTGATATTTTACTGTATTTTTTGTTTCTATGGAAGCCGCCCAGAGTGGCTGGGGAAACCAAGCCAGATGGGTGGGGTACAAATAATAAATTATTATTATTATTATTATTATTATTATTATTATTATCTGGTGTCACAGTGTTATATCACATACACAATGCATATAAAACACTTTTTCTTTACCAATCTAGGTGAGCCCCAAGTCACTCGTCTTTTGCCATTTGTACCTTGCCTGTGCTTTGAGATAATAACCACCAGAAGCCCCAGCACTTGGTCTTCTGACACTAGGTGGATGGTGACCCATGAAGGGGTCTTTGCAAGCTTTAAGCTTTAACGCTCTGGTTTTGTAAAGTTTCAAACATCTTCTCAGGGGATTTTTTGATATAACCTCTGCCAAGGACCATTTCAAATCCTTTGAAACGATGCCATTTCAAATTGTTTCCTTGCATTTGCAAATAAAATGGTTTTAATTCATGCACAAATGCACATTTTTTTCTGCACAGTCTCCAACATTGTTTTCTGCTACGTTAGGCTACCACATAACTGTTTCTCTGGAGAGCCTGCAAGATGAATCCAAGAGACTGGAAAACGCTGTTAGCAAGGAGCTGAAGCCTGCTGGAGACAGGGCAGTGTACCAGCTTATGTCTGGTGCACCATATTGTATTCCCACCTCATCTGCTGTCTTGCTGATGACCTTAAAGATTCATCACTCTGTTTTTGTTGTTTACCCAGCTGTAAAATGAGTGCAATAATAAAACTTGCCTGTCCCACAGGAGTGATGCAATAACTAATTAAGGCTGCAAAATTGTTCCGGTGACCTCTGATGAAAAGGATGGCATTTTAATATTTTTCTGCAAGACGCCCATCCCTGTAATACAGCCCTCATAAATTGGAAAGAATGCTGTGCTATGCCACAGAGACCCTCTGAGCTTTTGTGCGAAAAGTAACTGAAGTCAGAATTTGACACGTCATAATATAAAGCAGCAACAGTGAAAGGCCAAGCCATTCAGTTCAAAAACCTGCTTGACATTTATATAATGGCTTTCCCAGTGACAGTTCACTATAGATCTTTTTCAGTGCTTGACCAACCTTTGGTCTTTTCAACCTGAACGAAAACTCAGTCAATGAATCCCATTCTGCTAAACCCGCCATGCACATGACTCCATTCTCTTCAGCCAGACACAAGAGCCATAGCTATGTGTAACTTTCTCCACTATTTCTTAATAAAAGGAACCCACATTAGAATGCAGTGAAATGCAGAAAAAAGGACAGGTGGGATTTGAGGACCTATTCCTGTAGGCTGTATTGCTTTCACTTTAAATTGTCTGCCCTCACCCCAGCTGCTTTTCTCTTTGCATGGAGAGAAAGAGAGAAAAGGCTCACGTGCCTGTCTCATTTCCATCACCACTGCTTTGTGGCTCAGATTTCCCCACTAAAAGACCAACTGAGTGGTTTATAGCTGCTCTTCCTGGAGTGCCAACAAAGCACATGTGGACAGAGCTTCTGCCTCACAAATAGGACATGGGAATGGGAGGCCTGATGATGCCAATCTGGGTATCTGCCAGGAGGCACAACTGCCCCTGTTCACAGGGGTGATGGGAGGGTCTGGAGTTGTGGGTGGTGGGTCAGCCAAGTTACGTCAGGTCCCCTGAATCTGCAGCCTCCCAAGCAAAGCATCTTCCCAATCTAACAGGTTGGTTCTCCATGTCTGCTAATTCCCCTCAAACCGTAGATTCCACTGAAACTTTAGAAAAGCAAGAAGAGCTCTCTCTGAGCGTTAACTAGCTGATAATTAACTGTTGTTGTTTCCTGCTAAGAAGTCACAGAAATGGAGGCTTTGCTGAGTGATATCAACTCAGACTCCAAGTGCCTGTTTGAATATACAGAAATGCATAAGTACGAGAATCACTCGAGAACCTTTGCATCTTGTATAATCCTTCTCTGTATGAAACCAGTGCGTGAAAAGTGGGAGTATTTTTTCAACTTATGGAAGAAATCCATTAAAATAAAAATAGAAAAAACAAAAGCAAACTATTGTTGTTTCCTGCTAGCTAACATGTGAGTGAGGTGACAAAGGTATTTGGTTGCAAATCTCCATTTTGAAGGGAGAAGCCTTTGTGACTTTTGTCTCAAGACTCTCTGGAGTGAAGATGTAAATGAAGCTCCCAAGGAAAAACAGCTCCAGGTGAAATGGATGCTGTGTGTGTGTGTGTGTGTGTGTGTGTGTGAGAGAGAGAGAGAGAGAGAGAGAGAGAGAGACCTTTGCTTATAGGTCTATTTGGATTATTTCATATTTTGCAAGATGCCGAGCCTGTGCTAGACAGCACAAGACATTATATGGATATTTTTGATGTAAACTTGATGTTGTGAAGAAAGTTGTGCAAGTAAAACTTTGAATAATATTTTTAAGGGTCTGGTAAATTTCTTCTAAAAGGAGTCAGTTTTTATTCTTCAAAAACTGTGCAATATCTATATCTACAATAATAAATAGCGAGAGAGGGCATAGCTCAGTGACAGACCATGTGCATTCCATGCAGAAGGTCCCAGGTCCTGTTCCTGCCATCTCCGGTTGAAAAGTCCTAGGAATGGCCTCTTCTTCAGATCTTGGAGAGCAGTTGCCAGTTCCTAGAGGAACTAAATCCCCAACTCAGCTCAAAGCAGCCTCATATGTTCAGTATTAAAATATTATCTGCCTGTGCAGGCAGGTTCTATCTACCTGTCTAGGGCAGTGTGGGTGGCACTGTGGTCTAAACCACTGAGCCTCTTGGGCTTGCTGATCGGAAGGTCAGCAGTTTGAATCTGATCAACAGTGTGGAGCCAACGTTGCTCTGTCTCAGCTTCTGCCAACCTAGCAGTTCGAAAGCACACCAGTGCAAGTAGATAAATAGGTACCACTGCAGCGGAAAGGTAAATGGGGTTTCTGTGCACTCTGGCTTCTGTCATGGTCCTCCGTGGACCAGTAGCAGTTTAGTCATGTTGGCCACATGACCCGGAAAGCTGTCTGTGAACAAATGCTGGCTCACTTGGCCTGAAGCGAGATAAGCGCCACAACCCCACAGTCGCTTTTGACTGGACTTAACCCATCCAGGGGTCCTTTACCTGCTCTCGTCCTGCGGCAGCAGTGGGGGCCAGATTCTGAGTGCCTCAGGGCAAAGGATCAGGAGGGAGCGGGTTTCTCCGCCCCCTAAACCAGGAAGAAGAGCAGCAAATATTGCAACATTGCACACATCACAATATCAGTGACTGCCTCCTTCCCATGCATCTCAAGGTCCCTTACCTTTTTTAAAAAAAACCTTCTTGCTATCATCTTCCCACGTGTTTCCAGTAAGTTTTCTTAAAAAACATCTGCCAGCTATTCAGATGAGTCACTTTGTGAAACCTTGCTCAGATAGCAGGGAAATGAAACAAAAGGGGTGGCGGGAAAGGTATTTGAAACAGAAGTGGAGCAAGAGGTAACAGAAGTTATTTTCATATATGGTTATAAGACTCACCACTTATCCATTTAGCCTCTGGGTCATGAATTTTGAAATCTTCGCTGAACAGATCTTCCACTGTAATCTTCTTCTTTTGAGACTGGCTATTATCTTCGACTGTAAAACATCCAGAAGGGGGAGAAGAAGAAAAATGCCCATCCATTACTGCTAATTTGCAATTTTATCTGCACATTCAGCAAATGAGACCAGTTATCTCTTTTCATTTTGAACTGACCGATATTTGGGAATATGTGCATGAGAAGCGTGGTAGACTTCTATGCCAGAGTAAAAGTTGGTCCTGTGGATTGTGGTCCAGTTCAAGTTGGAAATGGCCTCAGTGTGCATGGAAGCGAAAGCTCCTCTTACACTGATCCAGCACAGTAGACTGCATGTGAAGCAATAGTGGAAACAGTGCAAGTATCGTGCCCCATGTCTCTCCTGTCCCCAGATGCAGCTGCCCATTTGTTTAATATGGGGTGGGGAGAGAATCTATAAAGTAGAATCATGGAGTTGGAAAAGACCCTGAGGATCATCTCGTCCAACTTCCTACAATGCAGGAATATGCAGCTGTCCCTTACAGGGATCAAACCTGCAACCTTGGTGTTTTCAGCATCACGCTCCAACCAACTGGGCTATCCAGCAGGTTTTAAACCATAAATCATAGTAGCAATAATTCATTCTTGGAAACCATCTTGCAAAGTTATCCTGAACTAGCCTTCTTCAGCTTGGTGTCTTCCAGATGTTTTATGCAACCAGTATCATCTGCCCCAGCCAGAGAGGCTGGTGGGAGTTGTGATCCAAAACATCTGGAAGGCACCAGGTTGAGGAAGGATTTTAGACAAGTGAACACCAGGGTAGCTTTTGATATGGGATACTCCATCTTAGGAGAGAGGGTTGCATTAAACTGTGGCTTGGGGGCTTTTAAGTAGCTCAAGAAGCCACACTGAAGTGTTGAAGAGCCAGAGGTTTCTTTGAGGTTGTTGCCATATGGTGAAGAGGCCCCCATTCATTTCAAACATCAGCCGTGCAGCTGATTGCACTTATGAACAGGGATGCAATGAGTTATACATATTAATAATCAGTTTTATTTTGGGCAAATGCTTCAAGGGGTAGTTCAGGTTTTATCTCATAATGTGATAGCATTACAATTTTCCTCCCCCAGATGCATGTTTTCTGATTAAATATACATTAGCTACACCCATGGCAATTATCCTTTTTTATGTTAACACCATGCAACTACATATTTTGAATTCCTGCATTTTTATTGCACAGGGACTCATTTTTGAAAGCAAAAAATGGCACCACGCATGATTTCTACCAAATGATTTCTAATGAATGTTCACATTCATTAAGGACAGGTCAACAGAAGAGAGAGAAAAAAAATCAATTAACACTTTGACTGTCAAACCACAAATTACGTGCCCAAAATTCTGAAGTGTACAGATGCTGTCACAGCAAGATGGTAGGGAGGATGACCTCAGCACAGTTTACACTCCCTGATTAATCCCTGAAGCTTCTAGTTTGTTTGCCACTACTTAATAATTCGTCCAGCACAAACTCTGATGATTTCCCTCTTGTGGTCGCATAGCATATTTACGCAATAGGCCAGTGATGTCACTGTAGTTTTCTAATGAACAACAACAAAAAGAATTACTCCCCATCCCAAATCCATTTCCTGGACTGTAACTGAAAGCAGTGTCCGGGTGGAAATCGGCTAAATGTCTAGGAAAATCTGGATGTATGGCAACTGATGTCGGGAGTGTCGTTTTTGCCAATGTTCCTCAAAAATACCTCAAAAATGTCCAATTTCTTTGCTTAACAACTTTGGGCAAAATTAAAAAAACAACAACAACAGCTCAACAACTTTTCTGTCTGGATTTTCACTTTTTGAAATACGGCAACCCTAAGATAATACTTCAGTGGCCTAATAACATGGATTCAGCATCCCTTCCTGGCTGAGTGCCAATTCTGATGACTGGCCTCCATGGGGATCCTGTGAAATAATTCACAGATAGACTACATAACTACAACTGGCATACTTCCTGAGCACTGGCCCAGCTCATTTGTGGCTGGGGCTGACATCTGGGCAGTCACAGGTTCCCATTCTTAGATGTTTTCTCCAGCTGCACAGGACCCTCTAGCTAGCAGATAACCAGTTCCTGCACAGGACCCCTGGCTCCTGTATCATTTCCACATCAGAGAGACCTACTTTTGGCCCATATATGCTAAGTGAGATGAGACCCATTTCTAATTTTGTAATTGCATATACTGGTTCTCTCTCTTGCTGCTCTCATCTTTTCAATTTTTCCTCTTTTTTTAAATAAAAAAGTGCTAATTGCACCACCTCTGCTACCCAAATTAAAATGGGCATTAGCCAAGCTGTGGATTTCAGTGCACTATCTACACACAAGGGGTGGATTTAGGGCTGTGTGAGCAGTGTGCATGTGCAGGAGGCTGAGCTGAGGAGGGTTTGGGGAAGGAGATGCGAGGCATCCTAGAGTTCTCTTGCCTCCTTCCCAAGCCTAGTTAGTACTTTGGGAAGGAGTTGGGAGGGCTCTAGGACCCCGGCAGAGCCTTGCACCTCTTCCCCGGCTTTGCCCCACAGTGTTCTAGGACAATGCCAGGTCTAGAGCACTGTCAAAGATGGAAAATGGTGATCATGGTGCCAACAGTTTTTTAATGTATCTTTTCAATATATTTTAATGTTTTTATATTACGTTATCTTTTGCAAACTGTATTTAATGAATGGGGGGCGGGGAGAGGCCTAAGTTGGGGCAGAGCAGCTACGCTCTTGCCATTGCAAATCACGCGAGCACAACATGGAGAAAAACGTTGGAGAATTGCTCAAACCCTATTTAGCAAAATGCTTCCCCCATCCACGAGTTCTCTGTACTAAAATAGAGTGTAAAATTTCGAGAGGACATTTGCACACAGCTCTAAATTGGAACCAATGGGACAGATTCCAAGCCAATGCATTTAGAATCAGGGTGTTTATATCTAAGCACATCAGAGAAGCCTTGCAGCACTAAACATCTTTCCCATTGTTTAGTGCTAACTTGTTATGCAGGCATAACACATCCCTGTTTAGAGATGCCATAAACAGACTCCATTGAGCCAATTAATGGAGGAGAAAATGGCTTTTTACTTCACTGGTCCCAAGGTACTTCAGCCACTTAAGATCTAGCCATGAAGCATGCATTATTTCGGTAACAGGCACACAAACCACCACTTGCAACATGATAATGGTTTAGTCCTAAGACTTAGTGTGCCAGTGCAGAAACGCTTGGGAGAGTGGGATAGAATCACAGAATTGCAGAGTTGGAAGGGACCCCGATGAGCAGCATGATGCCATAACTTCATGAGACTGAAATAAAAGGGCAGCATGTCTAAGATTGTGCCTGTGAAAGGCAAGGAGACCCCAGTTCAAATCTCTCAGCTCGTTTGCTACAGCTGGCAGTGCCAGAGAACAATGTTGAGGGTTACAAACCAACTTCAGGAAAGTGGAACCTGTAGCCCTGCAGATGTTCATGTGCCACAGTTCTCATGTCTGGGGCTAACATCTGAAGAGCCACAGGTTCCCTGCCTGGAATGTTTTTCTAGTTAGGGCAGACATTACTTTTGCATGGGACAATTCTGAAGACATGTCATCAGATTAGATAGTTCTTCATTCTATTTCCCCTTCCTTTTTTCCCACTCCTTGAGTATTAGAACAAGGAATATTCTCTTCCCCCTCTCCCATGAAATCTCTTATGTTATTTTTCTGCCTTGTTCTGCTTTTGATCTTAGGTTTAAAATGGTGTTTTTCTAGCATTAAAGAATATTATTTGTTGGCAAATGGTTATCTCCACAGCCTTTCTCTTACGTACAGCAGAAAACTGTGGTCTCATGGGATCACCCAGCCTAACCTTCTTGCCTTTTCCACTTAACTTTCCAGGGAAGAACATCTTTCCTAGGGACTTACTTGAGCTGAATGAGTTAATTTAATTTATCAATGTAGCTGAAGTCTGATAAGGGCGTCACTTTTTCTTTTCCTGACAAGGCAGCTATGCCTCCAACCTAGGGGTGAGGGACAACTGTCAACCTGAGGGCCACATTCTGTTCTTGGCAACCTTATGGGGGCCGCATGACAGTGGTTGGCAGGGTCAACATCAAAAGTTGGCAGAGAATGAATGTGCATTTTACCTTTGTACAGTATGCTTGTTTGTACACATCCACCCACCTACCTCTCTCTAGCCTCCATTCAGGCAAGAAAGAGGCATTATCAGAGTTGAAGGACACTTTCCAACCAGGCAAAAATACTGAAGGAGGGCTCATGAGAGATGTGGTCTGGGGAAAGGGTAAGGGTGTGCGTAATGCCCCAACAAGCAGGCAGAGAGGTGCAGAAGGTTGCATTTGATCCCTGGGTTTGAGGTTCCTCAACTAACATCTGCTTGAGAGACAGCAACTCAAGGAGTAAACTTCATCCCTTGAATTTCTCTCTGCCATGTAGCTGTTGCATAGCTGCTTTTCTTCTGGGCAGTGCATAATACGTTCTCTTAGAGAAATAACTGAGCAAGAAAGCCCCTAAACACAGCAGCTCTTTCTTACCATCTAGAGGGCCCTCCTGCCCCAGTAAGGCCATTAAATCCTAGTCTAAAATTACCTAACTGCATCACTGTTCCATGTTCGGTATCATTAAAAAACACAGCGAAGCACACCCCTGCTTTCAAGATTAAAAGAGCGGGGGAGAGATTTTCTCCATCTGATTGATCTATCCGTCAAGTTCAGTTTAATCAGGCCCCTGCCTTTTTAAAATGCATTTCCAAAGACACTGAAATTACAACAACAGCAGCAACTAAAACTAAAGGTTATATAAATACCTGGTGTCAGCAAGATAACTGAAGTGACAATCAAGGAGCAGATAACCAGAATAACAAGTAACGCAATTGCAATTCCTTTCCAGTTCCTTTGTGGAGGGTTGCTCCCCACCAGCTCCTGCAAACAGCAAAAGAAAAAAGGGAACGGTTAAGCAGAGGCCATGAGCAACAAACGCATCCAAACACGATATAAGGTGAATCTAGTCAATTAGCAATTAGGTTCAGTAGCCATAGGGGCAGCTGTAAGCTTGCTTGTTGCAGATGCAAAGATATATTTGCGTAAGTAGCTAGGAGAGCAAGGCAGCATGGGACAAACCAAATTGCAATAATAAGAGATTTGGTATTTTAACCATTGGTGGTTCAAATCTGCTGTACAAGGACCAGCAAGCAGGGGCTTTGGACCACCTGTCTGCCATTGACTGAGCTGCTCTGATGTCACAGTGAGACTTTAGTTTTATGGATAATAGTTTAGGATCCACTTACATAGTACCTTATCCCTCTAGCTTGGAGAACCCTTTATTGCAGGGGTGAGGATCCTGTGGCCTTCCAGAGGTTATTGAACTACAGTTCCCATCAACCCCAGTCAGTGTGGCAAGTGGTCAGTGATAGGAGAGGAAGTTCAACAACATTGAAAGCAGGCTTCCTCAACCTCGGCCCTCTAGATGTTTTGAGACTACAATTCCCATCATCCCCGACCACTGGTCCTGCTAGCTAGGGATCATGGGAGTTGTAGGCCAAAAACATCTGGAGGGCCGAGGTTGAGGAAGCCTGATTTAGAGGAC